ACACGAGTAGCTACTATAACGTTACGATGTTGCATACGAGTTAACGCGGACCACCCCCACCACCAAATTGGCTGCGTTCGATCGCAGCCAATTTGCAACAATGTTTGCAGCGTGGATGTCGCGTCACCTCTTAGCTTTCACTGACTTGTGACACATTTAGAAACAAACAGATTCCGGTTCTTGCAACAGCTACACTACACGCTGAGAAGTAGGTACGTAGTGTGCTTATTGGCTGTACTTTGTGCACAGGTCTGGTTGGAAGCGCTGACCTGACGAACTCGCGGAGGATCGCGTGAAAACACCGGTTCCCCGGTTTACACTCACACACACACACACACACACACGCGGCGATAGACTTCATGCTGTCTGCCAAAGATGCAGACTGTGAAATGCATGGCTCGTTACGATGCTAGCAGCTCGCCAGGTAGCCTGAAGTTTGTTTACTGTGTGCTGCTGGCGTTGTAGAAAGAACAACAACAATGTATTTTATTTTGATGGTACCCAGGTGAAAGATGGGTTCCTGGGGAAAGTCAAGCGGTTACCTGAGGCGAATTAACAACCGCACAGCATTGAAAATGACAAGTAAAGTTATCACTATAGCCTACAAGTTAGTACCCGTGTCAAAGAAAAACATATGTCCGCCAGCAGGTCGGTTGACGCGTGCTATAGCCGTTTTGGTTTTAATCTCAGCTGAAACGCAGCACAACGTTGGTGCTTGTGGGGAGCTGACAGCGCGGTTGCCGAATGGGACTTTGCTACAAGGGGAACCTCCTGCTTCATCCCGACTTCACTAAAATGTGACAGAGAGAGAGAGAGAGAGAGAGAGAGAGAGAGAGGGAGATGCTGGCCATGCACGTTAAATTACAAAATTCACACACACACACACACACACAAGCACATCGTTCATTAGTGTTTCCACTCACCGCTTGAAGTGCTCAATGATTTTCTCTTCTCGCACATTTTCGGGTAAATTTCCCACCCATAAATGTCTGGTTTCCCGGACCATACTGTGTGCTCCTGCTCCCCTATCATACAGATGAGTTGGCTATGTCAGTTTCTTCCTGTGCAAAATAGAAAAGCTTTGCAAAATAAAAACGCCGGACAAGAAACAAAAACAAAAAAATACTCGGCGCAAATCATTGACTGGTCGTTGTGACCCAATGTAAACCATTAGGCTAGATCCCCACACGCTGTTAAGATACTCTTCACTGTTAAAGCGCGATCTTGCACCTCGTGAACGCGCTCCGGACTGTTCCCGTGACTAGGCGCGTCCCTGACACCATGCGACCTTTTGGGTGTCGAAAGAAAGCATGTAGCTTCCTAAAAAGATGCAGCAACTTCGCTTGTAATGAGAGGCACACCGCGCAGGCGTGGCTTTGTGTGTGAACTTCTTTTTTTTTCCCCTCCCTGATGAGATAGTCTCCCGCCCATGCGCATGCGTGAGAAAACCCCTGGTTGAATGAAGGTGCTTTGACATCTGAGAGGCTTTGACTCTGCAGGAGGATCCCATCAGTGCTAGTTTTGTACGGCAATGTTTTACACTTTGCATACAGTAACACACTAAATGAACACGATTTAGATATTTTTTTTAGAATGTTTTGTCAATAGATACATTTTATACTTGTATCAATGCACAGCAACATCAGCACCCTATATTTATCAGGTGAGTCATAGGCTCAGGTAAAAAAAAAAAAAAGACAGTAGCAGAGGGGGCAGTCAGGCATTGCTCTGTTTAGGCTGGTAGTTTGAGGTATGCCAATCATTTATCCCTGACTAAGTACTATTAATTACTGGATGTACTTGGTGCTGGGATGGACTCCAGCCTCCTGTGAATCTGTACAGAACATGCTGTTTGAAAAATAGATAGATGGACTACCGACAGATTAGTCACCACTTGTCTCCAGAACTTAGGTTAACATTTTAAATCAGTAAAAGTAAATTACATGCAGTATGAGGGTTTGGTGAGGTGACTCCCCTTCATTTAAAGAGTCTGAAAAGGTTGTGTTGAACATTTCGACATATAAACTGGAAACTTAAGCCTGCAGGACACTAAGAGCCAATTGTGGGGTTATTCTGAATGTTAATGATTACAACATTTGAGGCTGTGATGAGCTTCAGTAAGATAATGTGCTGTGACATACTGTTGAGTTAAGATCTGTATAAAGTTCAGTTATTGCTCTGAGGTTATGGAACAGCCTCATGATTCTGTCAACAGAAGAGATTACGGTATAGAAACGTTATTTCTATGTTTAATTTAAGAGATTTTTTTTCTCAATAATTGCTCTTTTTGGCCCATAGATGTAACAGGAAATATATATAGTTCAAACAAACTAAGGGGAAACTAGTGTTAGGAGACTTGGGAAATCTATGCCAAGTGTTACTGAGATATTCTTTTCATTTAGTTTGTCACCTGTCAATAACAAACCCACCGTCTGCAAAGACTTATTAGCTCAAAAGCCCGAAATACGCGGCCTGATTTTTTGGAGAAAGAAATCAGTGACTTGTTTATCACCAAAACTGATTCATCCATTAAACATGGAACTGCTGAGCACATCAGTGAAAATAAAGAGTAAGGCTTTTCCATTAATCCAACCAAAATAAAGCATCAGACATCATTTAAAAGATATTCTCAAAAAATAGGACGGTTTGACAGCTGTGGGATTGACATGTGTGGCAAAAACAAAGCATTCAGTCAAACCAAAATGCCTTTAACGTGTCTTTGAGTTGACTTGATCTATTTCAGAAGAAGAAACCCCTTAATAGTATTGAGCAGTGCATTGTTAAAGCTGCTAGTGTCACTGATAAAAACAAGTACCGCAAATGAAACGATCACGCTTTAGAAGTGTTTGCTGGCTGAAATGACGGCACGGTAAACAATACACAAACCAAAAACCTGCCACAGTTCAACACAGAATTGGGCAAGAGAGGAATGTAACAGGCATGAGACGACAACAACATGTATCCATAAGCACGTGACTTTATAATAATGAGGTTTGTAACCGGTCTGATTCCCTTGTCTGCCTTTTGCTTGTAGCACCTGCAGTCCATAGGGACAAATAATGCTTTCACTAATTTACTACTTTACTGCCAGTAGCGGGCTACAAAATGGTGTGATGGCACTTAAGTCAAAAACCTGGTCTGAGGTCTGTTTTAAGCTAATCAGTAACATGAGGAATCGGGTCCATGTCCAAAGGTACAAAAGACCAGTGGTGATAAACATTAATGATGGGTAAATAAAAGCGGCACTTTTTTTTTAATGTCTTTCCTTGAAAGACTATCTCTGTTTTTATGATACATGCTTGTGTAGCTTCTTTTTTTTATTATTTTAAACGTTATAAACCTATAATCTGTGGGATCTACATCTGAATAAAATGGTGACCTGAGTTTCAGTTGATTTACTTCTTAGTGCATTTCTGCACATACCAGCTGAATGTAACATAGAAACGATTGTTGAATTGAAGTGTGTTCAAGAGAAGCTCTGTTACTACACTACGGCATTATTCTGCTTCTGTTACTATATTAAGCACGCACATGGAAAGGCAGAAGTGCGCTTGCGTTAAAATGCGGTAACAAGGGACACGCACAACCGTTCCGCGCATGCGTGCAGCGTGCCTATCAGATGAGAACAGAAATGTCTGGAAATCTACCGAGGAGCTGAACAACAACCACACAGTCATTTCAAATGGGCATTTGCACCGTATTCGGGTGCTCGTGGAGAACGTCCTCCCTGTGTCTACTCAACTCGTCCTGGTGTGGAACTGTATTCAGTTAAAAATCTAATAAACCTATGGGAGTACAATTTACTATTTTGGTGGATCGACTAGACACCAAAACTAAATTTCCGCTTCAGTGATTCTCAGACCTGGATTATCTTGGGAACCGGACCGTCAGGCTAATGTGCCCACTGTAATTTCACACGTCTGTTTTTTTGACAAGGAATGACGGGGACTGATAAAACAAAAGCCATCTCTTGGAATATGTTCCTGTCAGTCCACAGCTCTCAATAAAGACACATCTATTGGGCATACACCGGCGTCAAAATGAGGATGTAATGAGACGTGGGTGCTTATAAATGGTCACAACGAAGCCAGGCTTCAGTGTTATTGAGACAATGTAGCAAAGACTTGGTTGAAAATGGCGATAACAAGAGCTACAAACATCTCTTTAAAATGTGCTATAAAGCGAATAGTGTATGAAAAGAACGTCCACTAATGCGAGTTGTTGACGGTGACTCGGTATTGTCCGCAGGTGTTTAGAGGTAGTTAATGTCAGAGGAAAACCAAGTAACCTATCCTTTTCTTTGTCTAACGCCATTTTGTGTGACTTTACAGCACTAATGTTGTCGTCAGCCATTTTGCCTTTCCCTTTTTTTTTTTAAGTACACAGCCACGGGTGAGACGAGTCGAAAGTGTAATGACCGCCTTTTTTTTGTTAGGGCCCGTAGGGTGTGTTGAGATTGAGCTAACTGTAATACAATGTAATTAAAATAAACTCACCCGTTGCCTAAGGTGTTTGGAATGGCGTTAATGTCTGCATTTCTTCACGTTTCCAGCTTTCGGTGCCCGCATAGCAGGGGAAGATTGCGAGCTGTGGCGTCTTTGATAAACGTGTTTTTTGTGCTCGCATTGTGTTCAAACTAACACGTATTTGTTTTACTGTAAAAAAAACAAAAACCTAGACGTGAACCGTGTGTGACGGTCTCATGGAATTAACCCGCTGTGAAATTCACAATGTGTGTAATGTAGCCTACATAATGTCTTTTACATTTATTTGTGTCCACTGTCTTTGTGTGGTAACGGTAGGCTCTTTAAAACGTGAAGAGAACATGGTACTTCTATTGTTTTAAAGGTAATGCAACACATTCTTGATCCTCCTTTGATCACACCAATTAGTGGGGTAATAATAATCGGCCGGTTGCTCGACAGCAAGGCTTGAATATAGTGACAGAACATACCCAAATACAAGACTGTCTCATTTTGACTGTCATCTATCAGTAGCCTGGAACAATGAGGAGTAACTGGCCAACATCTCCCAAAGAGTACAGCATTGATTTATCCCAGATGTAACACAGACTCCTAGAATGACATCCAGAAGGTTTGTCACCTGCGTCAGTGTTAATGAGCTGTCCATCACCAAGAAAATCAGATTCATGAGAGAATAACAGACAAGAAGATGAAGCAGTATTCCGTGGATCATACAACTATAACCTTTTTTTAAGATATTTAATTTCGGAGTTGCTGTGATATGCTCCTTGGACTTTTTAATGAAAAAATATTACATTCTAAATACGAAAGTATTCATTGTTGGTGTGGCCCTAATAGGGTGTATTAGTGTCATTAAAAGGAGGTGCCACGAGATGTTGAAATCCCACAGTGTCTATGTCCGATGCTCCTTCTCTTGTGTCTGTGGTCTTCGTTGATGCTCTCTTTTCGTGTAGCGTGCGTAATCCTCTTCCTCCTGTAGTATGACAGATAAACCATCATTACTCACCCAAAATATTATACATTATATTAGTATCAACAATATTATATTGAACATTTGTGTGGGGTTTCAACTTGGCTCCAATCGTATATTGTTGTCTTTAAGGTTAATCTTATTAACACCTATTTTATCAACCTATTGATATGCTGGATATATTCAACCCACCGTTTTAAAGCAAATTTACAGGTGCAAAACGTTTTAACCAGGCTACAGCTCAGTGAAAGGAAAAGTAGGCTCAGTATTCTGAGTCAGATACTACTTTGACCTGAATCTGTCTTGGGGATCTTGTACCTTCTCCACCTGGGACACAAGTTTTGAGAAGTTCATTCTCATCTTGGGACCCAGTCTAGCGAACACATTGATATTCTGCCCCAGTTTTGGGGTCCCGGTGGACAGAAAGTGCTTTCGGCCCCGTGTGCCGCTTCCAGGGAGAATCACTGACCTGTGGTAATGCAGCATCTAGCAGATCCTTAGTGGGGATTAGACAGCTGGCCTCACCCAGGAAACACATTAGGATGTGGAGCACGTCGGCCCAACGACCAACAGTCAGCATCAGGACCATTAAACCACCGAGTCGCACCACCACTGTGTTCAGGACCGCCTGGCTGCCGGGCATGCGGTGCTGCTCCTCTGCAGAACAATACACGCAGTATTATAAGGGGAATATTTGGTGTACATTTATACAGTTTAGTACAGATCTATCAAACACCATGATGCTCAAATTAAAGATGGATGCAATAGTGGTCAGACAATCCAGAGAAACGTGTCAAACTGATGAATTAATGATGGTTTCCTTGAGAAGGGGTTCCTACTATAACTCTGGGGCCAGATTGATCAGTGTCTCATGAGTGTTGCACCATAATCTCTTTTTTACATGTTATCTCACCCTGCATGTACACAACCAACAGTGTGTAGCAGATAGTCAGTGGTGTCCAAAACCTGAGGGCCTCCGTTGCAGAGAGGAAGTGTTGATTGATGATTGATATGGCGGCCACCACCGCCACGGAGAACGTAATGACCATCGTCCTGCACAGCATGGGCAGCAGGCAGCGGCCCGACGTGAGGAGGCTGATGCAAGTGCCGCAGTAGCGCTGAGAGCTGTGGAGCCTGTACAGAGACAGCACGTGGTGCAGCAGCAGCGCAGCCTGCCTCGCCAGGAACCAGCTGAGCGCTGCGGCCAGGAGCAGGCATAGCCAGCGCTGGGACGCCCCCTCGTGGAGAAAGTGCAAGCTGCAACTTAAGGCACAGCCGAGGGAGAACTGGCTTTGAACCAGCAGCTGCTGCACAAATTTCTTCGACTCCTGAGGGAATAAAGGAGCATTATGAACAAGAACCGATGGACGAATCCAAACAGATGATGGGTTGATTGTTATTATAGATGTCACGAGTCATTATGATGTGAGAAATTCCAGAATTTAACTGAGTTAATTGAGCAAATAGGGTGATATATTTGGAGTATCAGGCATATTTTTCATCACATGAATGGTTTCCTTACTGGTCCCGCTGTAACCAATCCAGAGACGGCTCGAAGACAAAACTCTAGCACCACCAGGGAGGCAACGCGGGAGCCCACCACAGCCAGCGTCCCAGTCACGAAGAAGAACTGGAGCGTCCCAACAAGTCCAGTGTTCGCTCTGCTTTGATGACTGGGTGTCCTCTGGCCTGATGTGCTATCTTTATCACTCCAACTGTGAGTTGTGGGGAAACAAATCAAGAAAGAAACATTGAAGTAAAATGTCTCTGCACCAGCGCTGATGAAGTATTTTGATGAGAATGGAGAACAACTTTGACAAACTGGCCTATTATAGGGTAATTTCCTCACCTCTCTTCTTCTAGAAATAAGTGCAGTCTTATCAGGGAGCACAGCACCAAGATCCCACAAGCACCGACCAGTCCTGCAGGTCACAAAACTGAATGTTCAGCCAAACCAACCAAAACAGTTTAGAAACAGACTGTAGCAAAGTGGACGTGAGAGAAAACGAGGAGCTCACCTTGAAGGAAACTATTCACCGGATTTGTATCGAGAGTCAACCACTCTGGAAAGTAGGAAGTCGGAATAAACGATGTAATAAAGGAGAACATCGTGCTGCCTCTGACTTTTAAATATCACAGGTTTTTAGAAAACGGCATGGATGTAAATGTGATTTTAGCAATCACACACTAAGGAACCATGATTTGTGGATATTCCAAATGTGGTTACAAATATGTGGAGTATCAGCTCAACTCTACTGTTTATTTCTGTTGCCTCAGCGTTGAGCTTTGCTCACGCAGGAGCCTGTGCGGTGCCTCGTACCAAAGGTCGCCAGGAGTGTGGGTGGCGCAGAGGCCCTCGGGCCGCCTGAGTCATAAAGAGATAGTGGAGGTTATTGCGCCTTGGGAAACGCTTCACACAGAGGACGGCAGGTGCAAGTTGCACTCTCAAGTTGTCTGCAAGCTAGAATTTAAGCATTGCTCATGTCATAGATTTTTTTTTATCACAGAAGGCTTTATTAACACACGCACACACAAAACAGGAGGAAAGGGGAGAAAGCTCTGATACTTGAAGGATCCCTCTTCCAGGACAGATAGACATGCAATAGGCCAGTAGAGCTACATTATGAACAAATAGCAATACAATGTTAAATAATGACTAAACATATCAAGTGTATTAAGTTTAAAAATATTTAAAGCAAAGTGTAAAAGTCATTGGAGTGAAATATGGAAAGGGTTTATGATGGTCAATTTACAAAAAAAATAAAGTACGCTCGTCTTTTGATGAAATGGAACTCACATATAGTTTTAGGTCAAACGATATATTTAGGTACAATATATACAACAAGTCAAACAAATGTCTTATAATAGGAGTACCAAGAAAACCCATGTTACTTAGAATTATTGTGCATTGCCTAATACTATATGCAAAATGTGAATGTGTTTAAAATATTACATTATAACAGTAAAAACAATCTAAAGATACATGGGCTCATATTTCAGGTATATTAGAAGAGGTGTAGCAGGTGTTTTAGAGCAAAGTCATAAGCTTGATGCCTGTCCATGAGGGGGCAGCAGTGACCAATGGGCAGCAAAAACAACACAAGCCCTGTCTACAGTCTTCCTCTAATTGCTTTAGGATCCACTGATGCCTGTAAAGCTCTAGGCTCTGGAGCCACTTGTTAACAGATGATACAAATGCTGTATAGCAATTATATCCAATGCATATCACAGAGCCAACATGAGTGTTCCTGGAAATAATTGTATTTACTTCTCCATCTCCTTTTGCAAATGCATGTTAACTCTAAAGTGTTTGTTGCACTGATCAGTGTGTCTGTCAATGCATACAGAAACCACAAGGTGCCGTATGAGACATTTTAAGGTCACTGGGCTTAATACATTGCTAAGAGAAAATCTATGAAACAACAAAGTGATATTATTATATTCAACCAATTCACATTTTCATACAGGGGAGGGAGTATCGTGTCAATCGACAGCACTAAGTGTTTTTGCTTTGTGGTCCATTATCGACACAGGGTCTGATGAAACTAGAAACAAGCAAACCCCACAGAGCATACATTGCCCTTTATCACTATGGGAAGGAATCATATAAGCAGAAAAGCTGGAGTGGAACCAATGGACTTATGACAGGTTGAACTCAGTCAACCAGTGAACTATACGACCGAGGTCTCATACCAAGCAGCAGGCCCCCTCAGTCTCAGTCGTGCCTTTAAAAGTGAGCAGCAAAGTATTCTTGGCAGGTTAAGTGTTTAACACTCATGAGCACTAATTATGTTCAATGATTATGAATGTGGGGATGTAAAGTGATTTCTTTTTTGGGTGACAATCATCAAATCACTGCTTTTCAGTCTGATTATCTGAAACACTACTTTATTGACATGATTTATTCCAGACTTTAAGGCCATTATGATGTATTAAAAGTAGTTTACTAAGGTTTTTTAATTTTTAAAATGACTACACACATTGATACCATACTCAACTCTGCTGTTTCTCCTTTGTAGTTACTGTAGTCAAGATGCTGTAGTGTTGTCTTCATCTTCAGTGTGTCACAGCAGTTTGTGTGTCCAGGCCGAGCAGTGACGCGTTGAGTGACTGGTTGATTCCAGGCAGCAGATAAACCTCTGAGGAGAGGAAGGACTTCCCTCATGGACTCCAACAGTGCCGGCAGCGTGCAATATGATCGCTGGAACGAGGACAACATCAACATGAACGTAGAGGCATCGCAGCCTGCTGTGATGAGGTGAGACAAAGAACAAACCTATAGAGACGTAGGAAGATGTGGATGATATAAAACCATATACTGGCACATGAATGGACTCAACTAATGTATAAGTTTGAATGGGGTTGAAAAAAAAAAAAAAAAAAGGTTAATTTCATGTAGAATTGGCTTTTAAAACAACCTTTATAAGCTTGTGATGCCTGTGGAGGGAGTTGCATATCGAGGACAGACTCCTCAGGTTAGATAGCCAAAGACGGCCGTCACTGGGCCAGACTCTTAACATCAAAACTACACTGGTTGATTAGAGAGAGCTCTGAGCCTGATTTGACTCAAACATTATATTCTGCTTACTTCTAAACAACTCAACTACAGCTGTGCCTGAGCAGCCTCAGAGTCCACCAAGCAACTTTATCAAACTATGATGGAACCTGCAAAATGTCTGCTTAATAAATGTCACGGCAATGTAGAGGAGTGATCCGATAATACAGCGTCTGTGACCTTGTAGGATCACTGTAAGGCAGCTCGATGTGCTCCGACGAATTTGAGAGAACTGTGAAAACATTAGCTCTCGTCTAATGACTGAACTTTTAACATAACGCAGTTATTTGGAAGCCTAGAGATTTTGTCTTAAATGTAACATTCTGGAGATGGATTGCTGTTTTTGTTTGAATGTAGTAACTAAATCAGCAATATCAGGCCAATCTGACATCAGGAAAGGCAGTCTGAAACTATTAGTGTGTGTGTGTGTGGTGCTGGTGTTGAAGACTTTAAAACATCTGCATTAAGGGTTATTCCATATAGAATAATTGGATAATCACCAAGAGTCATTCTACAAAGTGTTTGCTTTAATACACACTAACACAGAGATTTATAGTGGTGGTACTTTAAAAATCTTTTTTTAAATATTTTTTTATTACAATTAATTTTTTCTTTTCATGTAGTTTTCAGCAGTAACATAAAAAAAAAAAAAACTTTGAATTTGTCACATAAGAATGGAGGCGAACATTACCACTGGTTGTATGGGAAAACACACAAACATCCCCTTTGATTTCATAGGAGCCCACCCAAAACTCTCACACTGCACCCTGACCACTAATACTGTAGACACCATGAAAGACCTGCTATGACTCAGTGGGACATTATAGTGGGATAAAAAAAAAAAAAACCTCTGCCCTCAGTGTGGACATGAAAAGACAACCTCTAGCAAAACAGCTTCCCCACAAAGAGAAACAATGTTTGACAGTGAACACACAACCCATTTAAGGGTGGTTTGTAGATGTGGTAGGTATTTAAGTTGATATCTGATACACTGGTCTACTCAATTTCCTCTGGAATTTTATTGTCATGGTGCAACAGCTACATTTGGATCATACTGTTGTACTAAAGATCTGCATGGAAACTAAAGCAATCAAACACAATACATGGCAATAAAATGACAACCGTATTCATGCGTATTTGTATGGCATGCGATCGAATCACAGGCGGAGAGCAAACGATCTGGGCCAGATGTGATTCTTCATGAAATGTCTGTGTGTCGCGTCTGTCCAACCCTCAACGCTAGCTGCAGCATATTGCGCACATCTCACCCACACACTCCACATCTCTTTCTTGATGATCCCATGTGTTCAACAAAACCCAGGTGGTTCCAGGCAGCTCTGATTGACTGTGTTGTATACTTTGCTGATGATTCAACATCATCCCGGGGCCTACGTCTTCTGGGCTCTCTCTTCCACGTAGAGCTGCATCTGTTAAAGACAGAAAACAATCATAATCAGTAAGAGCAAATGGGGGAATTTCAACATGATGTCATGAAGATTGATTACATGACGTAATGATTTTGCTTTAGGTGAGGTTTAGCAGATTACCACTATCGCATGCTTATATATATGTGTTTGTCTTTGAGCAGAGAAACGGATCGAGGGGTGCGATGTTTCTGCTCACTTTCACTATGTCAGACGTCATGGTCTTCAGTGGGATGAGTCTTGGCTCCTGCATGTGGACCTCCTGTTCGTCGGCAACTATCCATGGAAAATCCTGGAGAGGGAAATGCACAAACCATGTTTTAAATTTGCTTTTAAACCATGTTTTAAATTTGCTTTTAAACCATGTTTTAATTTTGTTCTTTCTGTGTGTATGTAAATTATTGGCCCTTATATGGTCACATTGTGTTTTTTATGTCTCTAATTTTGCCCCTGTTAAGCACTTTGTGACTTATGTCTGTCGCTTTATAAATAAATCTTACTTTCAAATGTGACTCAACAGATGTCATTATTCAGTGTCTACATAGTATTAGAACTGATTGCAATACTACCAATAAGCAAACAGGCTGATCTGTTTTCATATCATGTGTTAATCTGTGGGTTTGCAGTGTTTTACAACCTCACCTTGATCACTTGAACCTTCTCCATGTTGCGTGTAGCAGCATCTCTAGTATGTACCAGTACTGTAAATGAACACCCTGTGACACACAACAAGCCACAAATCATTTGTACTCATTCCTACCTGACTGTAATTTATGCATCATTAAAAGCGATTAAAAGTCATTACATATTTGATTCTCTAGACCCTTGACTTGTTTCCTTACATGCTTGTCCAATAAGACTGGTGTATTTTCAGTCGGGCTATTGCTACTGTAGGGCTGTGTCTGAGAATGTAATACCCTGAACAACACCTCACAGACTTATTTTTCCCCTCGGGTAACTCACAAATCCTGCCTTCTTTTCTTTGCCGGGATTTCATTTATTTAGTCGATCTGGTGACATAACTTTCTGTAGATGAAGTTGAAAGTTATATAAAGGTTTGTAAAGGAAGTTAGTCCTAAAGAAAAGATTTTTGGAACCACTGGTCGAGAGACTAATTTCTTTAGCTGCCAATACTGGATATTGGGCTGAATCATGCCAGGGAATCAGAGCAAATGATTTTTCACAATCACATTTGAGTGTGTCTGTCATGTGCATCTCTTTGTGTGATCCTCAGTGGCGTTACCTGGTGGGTTATTATTTAAAACAGCATCACACACACTGATCTTCAGGATGAACGCCCTCAGCAGCTGCTCCACGTGTGACAGTAATGTGTCGGAGCTGTAACAACAAAACCACAGGTAGTTAGTGACCGCGATCAGCCTGGAAATGTATGACAAAATAAGCACGTCGTTTATACTCACTACGAATATATTCAAAAAACAAAAGAAGGAGAGGAAAACCTGATGGACAGTAGTGGAGGTTGGGAAATCTCAAACACAAATCTTTCTACTGGATGATGCTCTTTGTCCATGATGACCACGGCAACCTTCTCTGCATCATTCTGGGGAGGAAATGAAAGACTTCAGAAGTGCGTAGGCGTACATGAGAGATGGTCACGTTTCTTAAATATACGTCAGTATCAGGTCATGACTTACCTTCTCAATGAGGGGCTTTACACAATGAAGTGTATCTTGGATATATTGATTCAGCTCTGGGTGACATGACATCTGGAAATCAACACACCAAACACTGAAGACCAAATATTTGAGATACGAATAGGTGAGCCTACCTAACAGTGTGAGCATGTAATAGTTACACAGCTATTCATCTGTACCTGCACGGGTACATTGTATTTCTTTCTCTTCTGAAATATTCCCGAGGGATAAACTTCACGGACATACAGGATGAGGTGAATAGCGACCTCCAGGAACTCACACAGGATGTCAGCAACCACTGGGGAAGAGGAGTCAACGGGTTAATTACATCTCCATGCATTTCATTTGGTCTTCTACAAAGACAAACAAGCAACACAGGGCGACGTCAAGTAAGGAAGAACCTACAGAAATAAACTGCCGTTATTCAATTCAATATATTTTGTATAGACCAAAATAATAAATTTGCCTCAGAGGGCTTTAAAGTCGGTAAACATACGACATCATCTGTACCAGGATCCTCACATCTGTACAGGAAAAACTCGCCCAAAAAACACCTTTAACAGGGATTTTTAAAAAAGGGAGAAACCTTGGGGAGAGCAACAGAGGAGGGATCCCTCTATCAGGATGCACAGAAGGGCAATAGATGTCATGTGTACAGAATGAACATCATAACAGAGTTACAACACATTCAATGCATATGACAGAAACGATTCAAATAATGAGTAATTATGTATTATGTTATGCCGAATAGGACAGCGTGTACCTGTAATAGGACAACATGTACCTGTAATACGACAGCGTGTACCTGTAATACGACAGCGTGT